ACCTCCTCGTGAGGTCCAAAGTCTTTATTCACTAACACCATTACAGCCAAGGCAAGGCCCCTTGTCTAACACGTGCATGTATTGCTATTATCTCTCTGTAACACCAGGGGCTGTATTTGTGCCTCACTCTCTTGATGTCTTTAGTTCTGTTAACCCAATATCCATTCCTCCTTAACCAGGGGTTTCCTTTATTTAGGAAGCAGACAGCTCTGTTATTTTCCTTTCCACATTCTGCTACACTCCCATCCTCATCCAGTTTCTGATTTATAACTGTTCCACTACCAACACAGCGTTTTTCTTTCAGCCTGGAAAAATTCTTTTTGTCTGCTATGCTGAAAAGCTTTGAAAGAGTGCAACTGAGGGCTTTGATTAACTCACAACAACCAAAGCACCAAGCACCTACTTATATCAGCTCTGCTGTATAAGTAGCAGAGAACCACATCTGTGATCTATTTCCTCTCTTCTAGTTTCATTTCTTTATTGAACCAGTAAGGCTGTGTTCACTGATGCCTAGAACATTTCCTGAAACCTGCAGCAGATCTGATCCAGAAATACCCTTATGTACAGAGGTATATAATTCACATGAGTATAAATTTAGCCAAATATTTGAGCTGAAGGAAGACATACCCAGGAATCATCATACTGCAAGCCTCACATTAAGTGAAGCTGAACAAGGAAACAAACACTTTCCTTTGTTTCATTGTTCCTAGTTTAATCTATAGTTTACATAAGATGGTATCTCTACATTTCCTTTCTTGTTCACATGTGATTTACAAGCCTGTACACATATTAGAAAATTTTATTGAACCAGATGTGAATATTAAAGACGATATTTGGACATTTGCTACACATTTTGAAAGAAAGGACTCAATATAAGTGTAGCACCATTAAGCAGTATTAGCTACACCACATTGTGCTTGCATCCTCTTCTGAGAGGAACCTGATTTCCCTGTTTTCATGACTCTCTATTACTATTTTCCAACAGTTATTTTTAAAAGCAGCAGGAACCCTGTTAACACAGTAGTGTGAATGTGTTTCTGTAGAATCTTCTGTTAGACTGAGAAATTACCTCTTCTCTTTATTTGCTATTCTAATATTGCAGCAAAGTCTCAGACAGTACAAATTTTCCCCAGAAGTGCAAGGAATAAATCTCTCAGGAATCTGCCAAACCAGGTTCAGTAATGGCTACACATTGCTATCAACAATCCAAGATTTTTTTTTGGCACGGGTACAGCATTTCAACAAGAGTAAATAGTTTGGAACTCAGGTTATTTTCAAGGTCATTATTTATTACTAATGTACGATTACTTTGGTGAATCTTACCAATTTCCTTAAATCCCTAAAAGTCAGAATTCATGTGACAGTTTTAGCCTTTAGATCCTTTTCTCCTACACCCTTTCTCCTCAGAAAACTGTAGATGGAAATTCCAAAATTTTCTTTCCTGACACAATATAACAATAAAGACTCAAAAGCTGGAAAAAAATCAACAACTCTCAATACGCACTGCAGTACAAAAATCTCATGATGTTAATAAGCAATCTTGTTATTTCTTCCCCAGATCAGTGAAGCCTATCAACAGTAATTTTTCTCTTTACCTGAACAGTCCTCTCTGCTACAAAATGTGGACTGACAGGGAACAACAGTATATTGGTTGTGTTAGTTGTCTTTCTTTTGCTGTATGTGAGGAACACATACTAAATACTGTGCTTCATTCAGTTTGGTAAGAAGAGGGAAAAGAAGTCCATTTGAAAAACCAGAATTTGAAACGGCCGGCCTGATTGGAGTTACTGTGTAAAATCTTCTTTACTGAAATAAAGCTGTTGATTGTTCCATAGGCTGTGTGGTCTTTCAGTTAATGGCACAAAGTGGCATTTATGAAAGATTATCTGAATTAACAAAATGTGGTTTGCAGTTATGATATAATCACCCATTACCACACTAGACATGCATTAAAATACTTAATCCATGTTTCCTGAACTAAAAAGATGGTCAATCAAAAAAACCCTCGAGAAATCAGAAAATAAAAGCACACAACAGGACTTTTGGTCTCTGCATCCACGGCTAAAAAAACCCCAAGGTTTAATATATTATGCACATTAATAGGAAAGGACACAGAGTAGGAATAAAATATGGGGAAATTTTAAGAGCAAATCAAACAAACAGAAAGTTATATCTAGCAAAAATGCTTTGCAGTGCTTAAACTGTGAGGTACATATCTCAATAAAAAACTGAGAAGTCAAACCTGAAACAAATTCATAAATTCCTCAACACTGGAAGGTGAACTGTTGACAAAACTTATTTATTCTAAAAATAAATATATATTCTATATATATAATATGTATATATATATATATATATAACTATTATTATTAAGAGATTTCTCAGCTATGAATAAAAATAACAGAAGTAATAGGAGACACCTAGATACATTTAGTTGGTGTAACTCCTTTAGAAAATTTATTATACAATTTGTGGTCCTTTATACTTACTGTAAAAGCTCCTCTAAAACTAATCAGAAGTGATAATGTGAATGAATAGTTCAAGAACTGAGTTCTTAAATGCCCTCTGAACAATCTATTATCAGTTTGATAGGCATACAGGATACTGAAGCAGTTAATAGGGAGTTGAGCATGTTTAAAAACAAAAGATTTTTCTGCCTGATAAAGCACAGCTGCAGAACCTTATTGCTCTTCTGAATGTGGATCGACATGAAAAGAGATTTCCTCCCTAGTTTTTAATATTTTATTAATTAAAAAACCCCAATCTTTCTTTGCTTTCATTAAGTGTGGAAAAGTTTCATTAATACAGAAACCACTGTAAGCTTCTGGCCTTTACAACAGTTCTCCCATGACAGCAATAGTGACATATCAAGAATCAGTATTCTGCATCCTAATGGTGGTTTTCAAGCAAGTCTCATAGTTCAGATGGGGGCAGTAAAAGCTTATGCTATCCCTTTAAGGCTTTCTTGATGTCTTTTGGCATTCTCTTATAATTACAGCTTTTACTGTAAGCACTGTACTGAAGGCTTTGTTCTGCAATTGAGTCTTTTGAAATTTGAGATCACTGTAAATGCCACTTTTTTAACAACTAAACTGGAGAACATTTACTTTCCTTTAAGAATACAATCACAGCTAGAGCAAATATGCAATTAACTATCAAAATAAAATGCTGGTCTGGGAGATTTGGACAATTTTCACACTGTTGCATTAACAATAACTCTGTCCCTCTCAGTTTTCAAGTTCCTTCTAAAATCTCTAAACTAAAACAGCTTACACACACACATTTATTATAGTTGCAAAGTATGTATAATGGTAGAAAAGTACTAAAATTGTGAGCTCTCAGATCTGAAGATATTAGGTTTATAAGAGCGAAATATCTAAAATAGTGGTGCTGTATGCATGAATGGAATACCTCAACATGTATGAAACATACTGAACGAGGATTTGCAGGAAGATGGAAAGGACTGAGCAGATGTGCTTTGTACCAAATGATTTTCATATTTCAATGTGACAAAATAGATGAGCCACATAAAGCTTAATTTCAGTTGCAAATTGCAAGCTGGAATAAGTTCCAGAATAGTAAACAATTAGCTGCTTTATTTTCTTTTTAATAAGACTAAATTACCAGATAATATCTACTGGCATCAACTTGGCTAATAAAAATCTGTTTAATAGGATTTGCCATTTTTCCAGTTGCTATCATGATCAGCTTTGCATTTTGATTATCTTTAAACTTTGCCTCAATTTTCTCATAGAAAAGCTCTCAGTAGTAATTGCTTTAACATTTATTCCAGGTCAAGTGGTTAAGTATGAATAATGATGTGTCAAAAATGTACAGTAGTGCTGTCAATAGAGCAATTACCATTTAGCTAGAGATTATTATGGCACAAGAGCACATTAACTGGGCAAAGTAAACAGAACAACAAAGAAAGAAGGGGCAAAGGGAACAAACTGATTTCAAAACCTGCCAGTGTTCTACAATGTGTGTTACTGCCAGATATTAGTTGTTACATAAGAGTAATTAAGTCTGCAATCAGCTTCACTTGGCAGCATTGGATTAGAATGTTTCCAATTAGAACAAGAAGTTAGAAGCATGTTTCTAGAACATTAGCTTAATTTTAAAAAATAATCTCACAATAGCTTTGTTTGCCCTTGCATATTTGGCATTGCTTCTTGAAAGTGACCACGAACTGGCACTGTGCTTAAAGCTTACCAAAGTCACTGGGCAGCACACTAATGAAAATACAGTGTAAGTCTGTCTCTGGTCACTGGTAGTGGTGTAAAAGCTAACATTTTCTCCCCATGTGATTTTATAATTTGCAATGTAATGCATTACTGATTTACCTGAAAAAAGTTAAACAAAAAAAAACTTTAGAGAGACACATTGCAAGATGTTTTTTCCACAGCCTCTAATAGCTAGCAATCATTTTGGTATTATTCCTTTAATTATAGCAAAATTAAAAGGTTCTGCCTACAAAAGCTATTTTATCAGATAAATCTTTAAAAATACCTCTAATCCTATCAAACACATGAAAATTACAGTCTGACAGAGCACAGAAATGTGTCCTCTCAAGAGCTGTGTCCTCCAAGAGCAAAAGCCATTTGTGTTATCCAGTCTGCACACACTGGCTTGAGAACTAAGCAATCTCTAAACTAAGCAATCTCTAAACTAAGCAATCTCTGTAAACTCCCACATTAAAAATTCAGGTGCCATACATCCTCCAACTTAAAGTATTTAAAATTCATCTTGTAAAACATACATACATACATACATACACACACAAGCTTGTTTTCTGCATGTCTTATTATTCTAACTCTTCTTCTGCTTGGCATACAACAATTACAAGCTGATCCAAGTTAGACAGTGTTGCTTCAATTGCCTCTGAGTAGTAATTAGAAAACTCCATGACATTCCACTGGTTGGGTCTAGAGAGAAGTAGGAGGCACTCATCACCCTGAAAAATTTGCATGTGTTTCACAATTCCATGACATTAAACTTACCATGGAAGTGGTGGTACCATTCCATTAGCTTGTCTCTGTACATCCTTTACGCCCACAGCTGCACAGAAATTATGAGCTATGTTGTGTTCTTATAAAAAGAGCTGACCTTGGATGCCACTTCCAGATGAAGCCTTTATTGAATATTCAACACCTGTGAAATAAGGTCAGTCTTGGAGCTCCATGTTTTGGAAGTACGAATGTCCTCCCTAGATCCAATTGATAATTATTTTAGTCCAACTCCAATGCCAAAAAACCTGGACCCTGAACAACCCAAACTGGAAAAGATAAACATGTACCTTTGTCAAGAAGCATTTCATAGAAGTGCTTTCTTTTTGAGGTTAAAAAAGATTAAATCTTTATTTTTACCTATGTTTGAGACATTTTCCAAGACATATTTATAAATACATGAAGCATTTATAAATGAGAAAACTCAATACTACTGGAATAAAGTAATTTTTGGCCTTAAATCATAATTACCAATATTTTTATGTTTAGGTAAACCTTAAAATCTCAGGATATGTCAGTGCCATTCAGTCACTTCTCAAGAAAAGCTAATTTAACTTTGAACACAAACTTTAATTGCAAATGAACAAAACCCTCAAGCTTTCCCTGTTTCCATGGCTTTACAGTCTCCTGTGACACATTCTCTGAATGTGTCACTCATAAAATCTGCAACTTTTCTTTTGCCCTCATGAATTTCTGATGCAATTTCTGCCTTCTTCTTTGGACAGTGCCAAGCATCTTCAAAAATCAAGCAGCCACACACAAAGTTTTTGAATCCTGATTATTAGTTAAACTTACTGTTAAACCAGCTGAACTTGAACAGATTGCTAACACAACTTAGGCAATGAAAATTGGGAAAAATCAAGATTTACAAAGATATAAAATCTATGAAAAGTTAAAATTAATTCATTATGTGTCTATATAGTGTAAATCAGACTCTCAATAACCAGGATATTGTATAGGATTCTTTCCTATTGCATGACTTATAGTATACTTTAATACAGTGTCTACTATATTGTAGTAGGCAGTAGAGTTCTATTACAGTCCTCCTTGATTACAACTCTACCTCTACTAAGAAAGACGTCAAGCAGTCCATTTTAACCTTCAGGATTTTTAAAGGATGGAATACATTTGTCTATCATCCTCATAAATAATTTGAAAGTAGCTTCTGCTTGGTGGAACATTAGAGAATGGGATTCTCTGAATCAGACTCAGGACTGAAGTATTCATAAACCTGTGCAAAACAGAAGAGGGCACAAACTTCCAGTAAAGAACTAAACCCCATAATTTTATCCCATGCATCCTATAGCTCAGTCATGCATATAGGTTACATGAGCGACGACGGAAATAAAATTTCAAGCACTTTGGATTTGACATAGGACTTCATGTTGTGCCCTTCCTCACTAAAGGAAGCTAGACAGATTTCATTCTATTGATTGAAAATGAATTAAAAATTATTTTGAGTGAGTTTAATTATTATGATTTAAATAATTAAAAAATAAGAACAAAATTTGTCTCCCACCTTGCAGAATCTATTATGAACAAACGAAATAGACCAGTACTAGCAGAGTTAGAGGCAGCTTTAAGGAGACTTGAAGAGTTCTGAAGGAATTCACCACAGAATCACAGAGTAAGATGAGTTGGAAGGGATCCTTAAATATTATTGAGTCCACCTCAGGCCCCAAATAGCACCATTCTCAAGAGTCTCACCATGTCCCAGTCTTAAAATCTGTTGCCATAAGAGACTGTATTTATGTTAATCAAAATAATTGAGAGATAAGTTTAAATCAAAAGAATGGATACAGAAATTACAACTGGAAAAAATGTACTGAACTATATTAAAAATTCCAATAACCAATTTTAATAACAAATAATTTGCTAGATTCTAGCATATTTTTTTCATGTTTTTCTGAACAGATAAATGGTGTGGTAGTAAAACCTATAGTTGTACTTTAGTAAAACACAAAACACTTTTGCATCACAAATTTTAAGTCTGAAGGCTAAACCTTTATCCTTAACAAAACTAGACTTGAAATTATTCAACAAATGAAAATTTAAAGGCATACGTCAGTATGAAAACACTTCAGAATGGAAGGAATATATCTCCAGATGTTGTTTTCTTATGTTGCCTACTTGCTTTTTTCTGTGTGCAAGGTGCTTTGCAAATATAAAAGAAAAATTAGGCCTTTCCCATACAGAAATAAAAATTAAAAATATTAATGTCATATGAAACTGGAAGCTGAAGGTCTTTGGTGGATGCTCACACAGATGGGGTGACGGGGAAAGTTTGGGAAGCTGTAGAAAGACTTCTCATTCTTTTCCTCTTCATGACACAACTGAAGGATATAATAGAACCTACAGTAGAAAAAGGTCTTGAAAGTGCTCAGAGCCATGTAAATGAAAGATAAGAACTCCAATTGCAATAATAATTTAGACTTTTATGGATTCTAATTCCCACTGCAATCTTGGCTAGCCAGTTACAGAATTAGGAAATTGAGGTAATTTGTGATCTTCTTGTAGCACACTAGAGACCAAGAAATGTGTGAAATACTGACTTTGAGATTTTTTTATTAGGATTTCTGCTTCTGATTTCCCTCTAGTATTTATTAAATAGATTAAAAAAAAACCCCAAACCAACCCACAAAACCCGTTATTTCCCTAAATATCTCTAAACATGCCATCAATAAAAATCTGATCAGAAAAATCTGCCGTTATCCTGAAACTTAATGATTAAGTCACTCTAAGGTAACCCATTTTATCCTATTAATGTAATTGCAGGTGCCATTCTTCCAGAAAGTACTAATCCTTAAAAAGGAGAAGAAAAAAAAAAGGGGGATTAAACCATTTCATTGAGTCATTTGGTTTTTACACTTCAATTTAAGTCAATCTCAGAGGTTTTAAATGTGGATTTTGATTGTTTATGAGCACCAAATCTAACAACCTCTCATCATGTCTTAGGTCAATTATCACATTGAATGAGACAACAAAGATGAGTCACATTTAAATAAGTATCTAGATTATATCATGCAAAACAGAATAGGATAATATTTGTCTCATGCTCAACAGTTAAAAATTCAGTACTTACTCCTATTTTTTTTCCATTCTCCTGGACTAAGCAGTAGAACTGGATTTGCTGTGGCATTATTAAAAACAATTTCAACTTTCAGATTCCTGTGCTTATGAGACAGTGATATCTACCCATAAAAATATCACTAAACGTCCAGATCTTTACACTTCTTCTTGCTTTTATCCTCTCCCCACACTTCTATATATCACAGGATACTGGAATCATTCCGGTGGGAAAGTACCTCAGTAGGTGCCCAGCTCAGTCTCCTGCTGAAAGCAGAGCCTACACCAATTTCAGACCACATTGTTCAGAGCTTTGTCTAGTTGTGCCAGGGCTCTCACAGGCCTAGTAGGTTCAATACCTGATTCCTCTGTTAGCGGATACTTTTCTTTACCTAGTCAAAGCCTGCTCTGCTTCAGTTTATGACTGCTGTCTCATTCACTGTGAGGAGCCTGCCTCAGTTTCTCACTAACATCCTGTAGGTATGGACAGGCTGCTATTAGGTAGCCTCAAAGCCACCTCTTCCTCCAGGCTTAAAAATAACAACTTCCTTAGCCTATCCCCATAACACCTTTAAAAACAGATGTTTACTGTCATCCCAGAAGGAAATTCATCACAAGGCAAGTGGAGAGGGGCAGGCACTGGTCTCTCCTCACTGGTGATCAGTGGCAGGATCCAAGTGAAAAGCATGAAGCTGTGTCAGAGGAGGTTTAACCTGAATATTAGGAAAAGGTTTTTTACCCAGACTGTGGTTGGGCACTGGAACAGGCTACCCAGGGAAGTGGTCGCAGCACCAAGCCTGACAGAGCTCAAGAAGGGTTTGGACAATGGTCTCAGGCACCTGGTGTGACTCTTGGAGATGGTCCTGTGCAGGGCTTAGAGTTGCCCTCTGCAGGGCTTTGTATATTGCTTGTTTTTGTGTTCATGTCCATTAAAGAACTGCTGCTGAGAGCAAAATATTATTTTAAAATAACAAAAAAATTTCTTTAAATTGTCAGAAGAATTGTGAAAATAGCGTGTTAAAGTTTCTCTGGTGAAGATGAGTAGTGATACTCAAAAAATCATACATTCTATTTGTAAAATCAGTGGTCATATATACTTCTCAACTTCTTCCTGGTTTTCTCATTTTGATTGCTGAACAACTGACAAAAAAATTTCAATCAGTCATCCAGACCTAGATTAATTTGAATTCCCCTTTCTTTTGAAGAATAGTGGAAGAATACTATCGTGCCATTCATGTACCACTTTCTCAAATGATTTTCCAAATCTCATTAAAAGACTATAGCATTAGATAGGAAGAGAGAGAGCATCACTTCTGGCAGTATTATCTGGATTCGATAGCCTGTAATAATCCTAAACAAAGTCCCCTCAACCACATGAATTTTTAACAAAATATTTACATCATTTTGGTAATAAAATTTAAACCCAATATCACTACTTCTGTGAAACACTAATTCTAAATACAGTCTTTCTGTAAAAGAAAAAAAATCTTTGAACAGATCAGAAACAAATCAATGTGTTAAGTAGTAGGCCAAGATGCAGACTAGCATGCATGGAGTCAGAATTCATGCTCAGCCTTGGTGCATTTTTATGACAGATTTACAAGATCCCAAAATGCGTTTGAACATCAAATGCATTCAGTGTTAAGTGCCTTTAATCTGGAAAACTTCCCGGCTTATACATCTGTCCCTTTAGCTTGTGCTACACAGCATGTACTCTCTTACCTTATGACTAAAATCTTTAACAAGAATTAAAGTATATCAGCTTGCAACTTGTAATAAACCAAGAAAAGGGAATATCACAATATTAAAAGTCTGTTTAAAATTCAATGCATCCAGCCTTGGCAGGTGAAGAATCAACTTCACTTCACCTTCTGTTTTTGACAGCTTTTTCTCACATTTCAATTTTAAACAGTAATTTATAAATTGTTTGACCCTTTTCAGTCAGGCATGCCTTTCAGTAATGTGAACTGGCATACATATTCTGATTGGAAAATGGTTTTGTTGTGAGAGAAGCTAAGTGAAATAACTAATTAAACAGTTTAGTTCTTTCTAAGTGATAATAGCAGAAAATGAACAGGA